ATAAATAAAATCTTTAAAAAAAAAGAAAGAAAAAATTGATGAACTTTGCTAATAGCATCTGTAAGTTTAAAAGAATCATTAATCAGCCCTGGCTGGCGTAGCTCAGTGGATTGAGTGCAGTCTGCGAACCAAAGGGTTGCAGGTTCGATTCCCAGTCAGGGCACATGCCTGGGTTGCAGGCCAGGTCCCCAGTGGGGGCCACACGAGAGGCAACCACACATTGATGTTCCTCTTTCTCCCTCCCTTCCCCTCTCTAAAAATAAATAAATAAAATCTTTAAAAAATAAAAGAATCATTAATCAAACTTATATGGCAAATGACAAACTAAGGAAAACATTTACACTGTATGTGACAAGATGCAGACTGTGGTGCAGGCAAGAGCTGGCAAGCTGGCAAGAGCTTGGTTAGGTCCAGTCCTAAAGCCTGCTCTGCCTTGCTGGTTCTATGCTTTGAGTGAGTTACTCAGTTTCTCTCGGGCTCAGTTTCTTCATCTTTAAAATGGGAATAATTATACACAGTTGGTTGGTATGAAGAGGAAATATGGTAATGTATGTCAAGTGCCTGTCACATAGTACGTCCTCAAGCAAGGCTGGCTGTTCTTATCACCATTACCATCCTCTTCATCATCAATCACCTACAACTCTTTTAATTGTATAAGAATGAGACAAAATATCCTAGGAGAACAAAAGTCCTGATATAATAGTTAATATGGCCAATAAACAAATGAAAAAAAAAAAGGTTCTCCTCACTAATAGAGAAGAATGCAGATTAAACTACAGTGTGATGCTGTTCTTACCAAATCATCAAATGTTTTAAAAAGGGATCCTTTCCGCTGGGGACCAGGACAGTCAGACACTCTGCTGAAGAGGGGCAGATGATACAACTTTCTGAAAGGCACTCGGCAACCTGTATCCGTATCATTTTGACCCAGAAGTGTGTCCTAAGGGAAAAACTAAAGTTGCACACAAAGATTTATAAGTAGGAAACTTTATGAGAATGTTGCTTTGTAACAGCAGAAAGTTACAAACAACTTAAATTTCTCTAAACTGGCTAAGTAAGTTATGGTGCATCCCCAGAATGGAATGCCGTGGACTCTGTTTTCAATCCTGCTGTTAGGTAAGCAGGAGGGAAACTGCCCCATGGGTGAAGTAGGAAAAGGCAACAAAGAAAACCACATGTCAAGGGCAAGACCATTTTGCATATCATAAGAACAAAGACAGTTTAATGATATTCAGAAAAAACGGATTGGAAGGAAGTATATTAAAATGTTAATAGCATTTCCCCCAGTGTTGGGATTGTGGGATAGTTTTAATTTTCCAATATTTATTTTTTTAGACTTGCCAGATTTCCTACAGTTTAACATGTAGTGCTTTTGGGACCATTTAAAAAAATAACAAATCAGTGTTACTTTGAAGGAAAAACCCCTGTGAGCCCGTTCGTGGGCAAGTGCAGTGAGTTGGCTCCGGGCTGCTCTCATGGGTCACGCTTCATTCTGCCCCCCGCTTTTGTCCGCCACAGTGACCGGTTAGCGCTGCTCCAGGTGCGGGCCATCCTCCAGCAGCTGGGCCTGAACAGCACCTGCGACGACAGTATCCTCGTCAAGACCGTGTGTGGCGTGGTGTCCAAGAGGGCTGCGCAGCTGTGTGGCGCGGGCATGGCCGCCGTGGTGGACAAGATCCGGGAAAACAGAGGGCTGGACCATCTCAACGTGACCGTGGGGGTGGATGGAACGCTCTACAAGCTTCACCCACAGTGAGTGGGGCTTCCGGTTGGGGCGGGCAGAGCTGCCTGGGCTGGAGAGTTCCTTCCATGGTGACGGGACGTGAGGATGCGATTCCCACCAGGACAGTCCCTCAAGGGACTGGGGTTGCTCTGGGATGAGGCAGTGAACTGCTCTGAAGTTTCCCCGAGAGAGGCAGAGCAGTGGTTTTACTTGGCCAGCTCATAGCCGCATCATGACCTGTCCCTCGCCTCGTTCCCCCGGGGCCCCACTAGGGCCAGGCAGAGCCCGGGTGGGGAGGGGCGTGGGCTCACCGGTCATCCCGGTAGCTGCAACCTGGCCGGGAGCCTGTGTCCGGTAAGTGGGGAGAGGGAGTGAAGGAAAGGCAGAGAGACGGCTCGGGGTCTGGTGCACCTGTTCTCCGTGCTGGGGAGGCAGGAGCAGTCTTGGCCCTGGGCTTGTAGCAGGGAGGGGGTGGGGGTAACTTATTTTGTTCAAGTGCCCAACCCTCCTCTGTGCAGGGGGAGGGTGTGTGGCCCCATCTGCTCCTGGATCCACTGCATTGTCCCAAATCTTGGCTCTTGTGAATAGAGGGACCATATTACTTACTGTCTAAACTGACAGGGGCACTTTTGCCAGTGGAGACTATGCTACTTACAATTACGCTGGGACCATCCCAGGTAAACAGGGCCATGGTGTCACCCTACTTTAAAGCCACGTCACCCGACTCATCACAGGTGTTACCTTACCTCATGGCCGTGGGCTGGACCGTGCATCTTGGTCCATTCTCACTTTCATCTCTCCACTCCATAGCGGTGCCCTTCCTCACCTGGGGCAGCGCACAGGTGTGGGTTGGAGCTAGGCTTTGGAGCCGCACACACTTGGACTTAATCCTGGCACCCCCCCCCCCCCCCTTGGAAGCTCGGTCCCATTGCTTGACCTCTGCCAAGTCTCATCTTCCTTCTGGGAGAGCAGCCACTGGCAGGACTGGAAGTTATGCCTATAAAGTGTAGGTAGGGTACCTGCTAGGTTTTTGACAAAGGGCCGTCCGTGTTACATCTAAGAGTTCTATTGTCCTGAGCATTCTCAGCCTGGTCCTGTCTCCTTTTCAGCACAAAATGCGAGAACCTTGAGTGACCTCTCATTCAGAGATGACCTTTCATTGGGGGGCCGCCCGCTGTTGGCTTCAGGTGCAGGGTGGTAGAGATGGTGATGGGCTGGGGCCTCAGCGGGCTGCAGCTGTGGGGATGGTGTTGGTGCCCGTGCAGTCTGCTGAACTGGCCCAGCACCGGACCAGCGCCGGCCCACCCCAGTGGCCCAGGCCTTTGCACCTTCCCGGGTTTGACTCCCTCGAAGCTTCCAGGTGTGTCTTCGAGGATAGGTGTGTCTTAGTGTATTATTCATGCCCTACCCCTTTTAAACTGTACAGGGCAGTTTATTTTTGGATGCTCAGCCGAAAACTGTGATAATAGGTGTGACTGTAAGTCTACTTTCCTCCCTGCCCCTCTCCATAAGCCACAGCTGCTCCTAAGTGGCCCCACCCATCTCGTTTGCCCTCCTTTTTACTAGGGCCCTTGAGTATCTTCAGGTGGGCCTGGTGTCTCTTCTCCTCTTCCCTTACCTACCTGTTTTGCTCTTGTCTTTTTCAGCTTCTCCAGAATCATGCACCAAACTGTGAAGGAACTGTCACCAAAGTGTAATGTGTCCTTCCTCCTGTCTGAAGACGGTAGTGGCAAGGGGGCTGCCCTCATCACAGCAGTGGGCGTGCGGCTCCGGGAGGAAATGAGCAGCTAAGAGGCCTGGACCCCCATCCTGCTGCCCTTCCAGCACTTACTTATCTCTCCAAGCGGTGACCCCCCATTCTTCCAGCAAGCCGTGCTGGGAGACGCCAGCACCAGAGCCCGCCACTGCCACAGCAGGGAGGGAACCGGAAGCCAGCTAATGGCTCATAGCGTAGGCCACAAGATAGAGTGTGTGCTGCTGATAATCTCTCTCACCTTGGGGTCCCTCCTCACCTGTCCCGCCACTCTGCATGATTTGATTCCAGCCCGGCCATGCGGCCCCCACGTGTGAAGTTTCGTGGCACCCATTTTTAATTTATGCATTTGTCCAACAGTTATTTATTGGCCTGAGATGAAAAGTCACACTGTCTGACAGGCCTCATGGGCATCCGTAGCCCATCCTGGGGAGCGAATCCCCTGTGTAAAATCTATTATCACCAGCAGACACTGCCGGGGCTCCTCCCAGGGGCGCTTGCCGCTCCCTCCCCTCCCAGCACCCACTGCTGTCTGGCGTCCGAAGGATCCCGTCTGGGTGTGTCAGTGCCACTGGATCGCGTGTCTGTGGACCTGGTCATAGCCACATTGTGACTGTCTTGCATTCTATCTTGTGGGGTGGGGGGAAGTGGGCAGTCCTGTGGCAAAGTGTCTTGTCTCTATTTGCCTAAAAGGAACCAATCAAAAAAAATAGTGCCCTCATTGGAATGTCCCATCGCTTCTGTGAGCCATGTCGTATGACCTAGTAAACTTTGTACCAATTCAAAGACCTGAGTGATGCTTAATGGCTAGGGAAGGGGGAGGGCATCTGGGGATATGGCAAAACCAAACCCTGGGCATTTTTGTGGCCGCCTGGGTCAAGGGGAGAACTGAGGTGAAGATTGTGTTCTCCAGCCCCAGCCTCCCTTTGGACATCCTGAGGACTTATGCACTGTCCCCGAGTGTCACAGAACCAGCCTCTCTCCTTGTCTCCCAGCACTTGCCCTTCTCCAGCCCCAGGGTTCTGTCCTGGGGAGAGGCTCCTGTAGCTCCCACCCCAGCACCTTTAAGGTGAAGAGATATCCTCTGTTCTCCAATATCCTGGCTTCCTCACTTGCAGTTGGAGCAAAGACAAACCTGGCTTCCAGGGGCTGTTCGAGTTTGATGAGGAGTGCAGCTTTGGCCTCCCCTGCCACCTGCAAGCAGAGCCTGCCCTTCACCGCCTTCTCTGCCAACTCCAAGGCAACGAATGACGTAGACCCCCCAACCGCCGCCCTAACACAGATGAAGTCTTGCAGCAGCCTGGGGTGCCAGGAGTGCTGCACTCTCCCCTTCCCGCTCTGAAGGAGAGTGGCCCTCACCTGACCCTTGCATCCCTGTCCCACTGTTTTGGATTCTCCCCACAGACCATCAGCGGATCCCACCGCAGTCTGCACTCTGGTGCCCTGTGGTGACCCAGGTGCCACATGAATCTCCTGAGCCACTGCCCCAGCTCTAGGCGGCCTCCCTCAGGACTGGCTGCAAGGTTTGGCGAGAGCAGAGCCTTTTTATTTGGCACAGCTGGTGCCTGTGGCACAGTGATTTTTGTGGAGAACACCTGATAACATTGGACCCTCTTGATGTACACTTAGTGTTACACAGTTCTTCTGGGGCCTAGACGGGGGGGAGGCGGCAAGCTGGGAGAGGGGCGTCCTTGGGCCAGACCCGGAACTTCCTCTGGGTCAGGACAGTTGGTGTCTGCCTGCCACCTCCTTGCTGTGAAAGTGAGGGTGAGAGTTGTGTTGCTGCCTCGCAGGAGCTGTTCATGTAATGCAGCCGGCACGGGAGTAACGAACACCATGGCAGCTGCTGTTCGTTGAACACTTCACCTGTGTCTGGCCTGGTGGTGCGCAGGTGTCGCTCCGTCATCCCCGCAGCATGCCCTGCCATCGGGAGAGGGAGAGCGGAGGGCCAGGGGGGCTTGTGTGAGGTGGCACAGCGGAGGCTTCCTTTGCCTTTCCCCCCAACCCCTTTGACTTTTCACCATCAATACTGGGCTGGATCTGAGTATTTAGATGCCAGGGCAGAGAAGCCTCATGTCTTGAACCTGACAATGAATCTGTCTTGTTGGCTGCTGCCCGCAGGTGTGTTTTGTTCTGTTCCCCCAATGTTGATAAAAATGAGCCAACTGTAACAAGCCTGGAAGTCTCACAGATTGGGATGTCTGGCTTCTCTTGGAAGACTTAGAAGACGAGGCAACAGTGAATTCCCCTCACCACACGGCAGCATTTGTCTAGAGCTGATCAGCTACTGTCCCCTTTGGATGCCTATGTCCTCTGGTTTGCCACAGTCCCCACCACTCCCTATCACCCCAACACTGGAAGCCAGTTGCCTTTTACCATCATGGTTGCAGTTTTTCTTTTATACTGGATCCAACTTATTCGTTACGTTCTGTGCCCCAGGAAGGTGTCTGGGCCCATAGCTCCTGGCTGACAGGTGTTAGCTCACTCTGTCTCCCTGTCTCTCGCTGGATCCCCTGAGGCACTGTCTGAGGGCAGGCTGGGTCCTCTTCAAGTCAGCATCCCCCGCAGACTGCCCGGCCCCTTGTTCTTCCGTCGAGGTATTGAGGGGTGAGGCGTGGGCCAGGTTTTCAGATCTGGTCTCTTCAGATCTGGTCTGCGACTTCTCAGAGGGTGCTAAGCCTCACCCTGCAGCCAGACACAAGGCTTCAGGATTCAGCAGGCACCCCATGTTGGGGACCCCCAGCCTGCCCACTGGTGGCCTCAGACGAGGCCACATCCCCCCCATTTATGAATAAAGTCTCTTTAGTGTGACACTGGTTGACCCTCCTGGACAGGGATGGCGTGTGAGTCAGCTCGATCTTGTCCTCTTCGGTTGGCGTGACCCAGGGGCAGCAACGGAAAGCAATCCGGAATCCAGAGCGAAACCTGGGGGCGGGAGGTCAGCTGGAGCAGCCGGTCGGGTAGACAGTGATGGGCTGTCGTGGGGCTGCCCTGCCTCCAGAAGCCCCTCTCCCCTCCAGGAGGGTCACTGCCTCACTCCCAAGCACCTACCGTTGTTCAGGGTCCCTGTCGAGACACAGTCTTTAGTGAATTTAATATTTGGAAACAGCCAGAAGTAATCTGAAGCTAAGCCTAGTGATTGAAGTGGGTGATTGAGCTGAATTACACCATTTGTTATTAGTGACACACAAAAAGAAACCAGGGACAAATTATATAGAAACAATAGATTTTCTTTGGCTTGTTAACTGGCTTCTACAGGAATATTCATAGAAGTCTTAAAAAAAATAGGGCATTGGCAGTTGGGTGGAATAGGGATGCTCTCCTGAAGGGATTGCTTTGAAAGAAGATATACACTTGGAACTGTGAAGTTTTGGTATATTTGCTTAAAAAATAACTCTCCCCATGGCATCACTGAGATGAGAGGAAGCAGACAGGAAGCAGGAGAAATCAGTGGAACAGAAATAAGTGAGAAATACTGGCCGTCAGAGAGGAAGGGAAACAAGTGAGACCCTGTGTGACAGCCGAGAGGGCGAGAACTGTCTTGTCTGTTCCCAGAGGCTGCGGTTCCACATCCCAGAAGACAGGCCCACCTCTGGTTCCTTGCCTCATAGCTCTACGAGCTTCCACAGTGTGGCCCAACCAATGGCTGTATTGCGGGAGCTGAGTGGCCTCTGGCCCTCGCACCCACAGTCAGTGTGTCCCAGCCCGAGCTAACCATCATCCTCCCTGGGGCCCTCCTCCACCGTCTTCCTCACCTCCGTTCCTGACAACTGACGGCCTTGTCCTTCCAGTTTTCAGGCCAAGAACTTGGGAGTCACCCTTGATTTCCTCTCATGTGCCACTTCCCCTCCATCAAATTCTGTTGGTTTTACCTCAGCAATATGCAAATTCTGACCACTTCTCACCCTAATCTAAACCTACCATCTCTCGCCTGGATTACTGCAGTAACCTAACCATCTCTTTCCTTGCCTTGCTGTAGTCCAGTTCCGACATAGCTGCTGCACTGATTCTTTTCATTTTTAAAAGATCTTATTTATTTTTAGAGAGAAGGGAAGGGAAGGAGAAAGGGAGAGAAACATCAATGTGTGGTTGCCTCTTGAACACCCCCTGCTGGGGACCTGGCCTGCAACCCAGGCATGTGCCCTGACTGGGAATCGAACTAGCAACCCTTTGGTTCATAGGCCCACATTCAATCCACTATGCTACACCAGCCAGGGTTGATTCTTTTCAGGGAAGTTGGAGCTTGTGTCTCTCAGGCTCAGAGACCCACAAGGCTCCCCAGGTCAGAGCACCAGCCCGTCTTTCCCTTAACCCCAGAGGTTTTGCCTCCGCTGTTCCCTCTGCCTGGAGCTCTTCCCCAGACAGAGCCCACTCGGTCCTCAAGTCTTTGCTCAAAAGACCCCTCAATACGACCTGCCCTGACCATCCTGTAAAGCTGTGCCCCATGCCTGCTACTTCCCCCTGCCCTTTCTGTGCTCCCTCACCCAGCTCTCGTTTTTTTCTGTTTTTCTGTAGGACTTATCACCTAAGATACTACGTGGTTCATGTACTCACTGTGTTTGCTTATTGTCTGTCTGCCTCACTGGAACGCCAGCTCGCCGGGGAAAGGAGGACTGTTTCTGTTCACTACTGTCTCCCAAGTGCCTGGGATAGTGCGGGGCACACATGGCCCCTTGCCCCCCTTCAGAGCTAGTGCCATCAAATACCGAATGATGCAGAACTTATTTCAGGAACTTGGAGAGTCCCTTGGAGAAACAGAGCCCTGGGGTGCTGTTCATATCCCAGGGACTGTGTCCGTGGGTAGCAGGAGAGTGACCCGCACACAGACACTGAGGGCTGGGGGCCCCTCCCTCATGTGACAGTCCATGTCTCCACGTTCTCACTCCTATAAGCTACATGCAGGAGAGATGTGCGATGGGAGAGTAAGGTTACAGGCCTTGGAGAGACAGGGAACGCTGGCTCCGTTGCATGCTGTGAGTTTAGGAAAGTTCCTTTCCAAGGCTCATTTTCCTCATCTGTAAAATGGGAACAATGCCCCCTCCTTCTATTATTTACTTACATTGCAGGAGACAATGGAGGGTTCTGGCACCTATTAAACACTCAAAATTTTTTTTACAGTTTTCTCACTTCCTTCTGGCCTTGCCCAGGTGGGTAGAAAGTTTGAACGCAAAGACCCCAGTGGCAGGAGTGGCCCGGACGTGTGGGCAGGGAGGCAATAGGAGGCACGAACAAAGCGGCCCAAGGCCAGTCTTGCCCATATCACTCTCAGTCAGGCCAGGACTCACCGTTCCCCTCTCATCTCCTTTGATCTGGCCCCACCTTCTTCAGGGTTTTCTGAGGCTGCATGGCCTGCTCTGTAAGCAGGGCTCCTGGGCCCTGGAGTTTCTGCCCGGCCCAGCACCTCCCACCTCTCCAAGTGTCCCAGAAAAAGGCCAGCCCCTCCCTGGGACCCTGCTTCCCCAGAAGTACAGAAGCAGGGAGGACCATATGGCATCTGAGGGAGTGTGAGATCCTGGCTGCACCCTCCCTGGCTGTCTCTGACAAACTCACTTCCCAGCTGCCCCGAGAGCCTCTTGAGGGCAGGAGAGGCACTTTGATCTTCCCAGGGAACAGATCGGTTGGCTCTGGGTCTCCTCTGACTGCTTCGTACTGCTGGGGTTGGGACTGTTCTTGCCCAGGGAAAGCCCTTGGTTCTTCCTCATTGCAGGAAGCTCTTAAAAATGTCAGGACAGCCCTGACCAGTGTGGCACAGTTGGTTGGGCATTGTCCTACAAAGCAGAAGGTCGCCAGTTCTGTTCCTGATCAGGGTACCTGTCTGGGTTATGAGTTCAGTCCCCAGTGGGGTGCATGCAAAAGGCAATTGATTGATGTTTCTCTCATGCATCAATGTTTCTCTTTCTCTCTCCCCCTTTCTCTAAAAATAAATGAATAAAACCTTTTAAAAAATGCCAGGACATATCCTTTACCTGGGTCCTTCCTCCCTCCCTCTCTGTCTGTCCTTTTGGCTCTCTCTGACTCTCCCCCTTCCTCCATCTCTCCATCCCTACCTTCTCTCTTCTTTTTGTTCCAGATGTAGCCCCCAGAAGACAGGGCAGGAGCAGACAAATGGTGAGAGCAATGGGGGGTGGGGGCTCACACCAGCGGGAGGATTGTGCTGTGGGCTTACTGTAAGGATGGCCCCTGTGAGGGTGGAAGGCATGGGAGTATGGACTCAAGATGCACAGGGAGGTCCAGATGGGGCCAGGGTCCAGATTGGGGCCCTGAGGGCTGAGGGAATGGGATGAGGGCTCACCTGCGGTTGAGGCAGCAATAGATGATGGGATTATACATGGTGGAGCTCATGGCCAGCCAGAAGAGTGCCAGGTAGACCTGCTGAATGAACTTGTGGCAGTAGATGTCCTCCTGGAAGTTGCCCAGGATGAAGTAGAGGTGGTAGGGCAGCCAGCAGATGGCGAACGTCACCACCACCAGCACCATGGTCTTCACAAACTGGTCCGGAAGAAGCTCAGGTCACTTTGCAGCCTGGAAGCCCCAAGCCCCAATCCTCCCAGGGCAGGGGCAGGGGCAGGGGCAGTCTAGGAAGCCCTCAACTAGCAGGTCCTGTCTACCATTATGGCCTCAGTCTCCTGGACACTCCTGAGCCCTCCATGCTGTAGTTCTTGCTCAGCCTGGTCCCTCTACCCACACTGCTGTCCTTCCTTTGAAGTCCTCAGTCCTCAAAGCCTAACTCAGTGGCCACTTCCTCTAAAACGAATCCTGGATCCCTTGTGGATGAGCATTCTCTCCTAACCCCTCTTTTGGGGAGTCCCTATGCCAGCTGTGGGTTTCCAGCCCCAGCCCCACCCCAGGATCTGTGTCTGCCACAGCCCTTCCATCCATAGGTAGCGAGGCTCCACCCTGGGACCCCAGCCTCTGTCCAGAGCCCAGCTGACACTTCCCTCGTCCTGACTGATTTCCACAGGTGCACTTGAGCACGGCACAGTACCCCATGAGGGATGGGAGACAAACCAGGGCTGGCGAATGGAGACCAGCTCTCCATGAAGGACAACAAAATGGTGTCCTATGTTCAACTACCTCCCTGAATTGCCCTGAAAAGTTCCAAATAGTAGATGAGAAGCCGAGACTTGGATCTGATACATATGATTAACCCATTACCTCTCCTGCTCGCCTGACAGGAAGTGGGCAGTCAAAGATAAGCTTTGAACACCATCAGGATCCTTGGGGACCCTGAGTGGCAGGAGCCGGGAGACACTGGCACTTCTTTTGGAAATTCAGGACAGATGACAGTCTCCATAATCTCCGAATTCTGCAGTCCCAGTGTTTGAGAGTTCTCCTGTGATCCTATCAAGGAGCCCCTGTGGTTCTGCAGGAGTTCTTAAATTCACTCAAACGCTGTATTACTCAAAAAGTCTAAGACTTTAAAATCGTCATTCTGAGGTTTTTGGAGGTATCTGAAATTCTGTGGGGCTTTAGGATTCCATGATTTTCATAACATTCTGGGAGGTTCCATTAACTTTCTATTTGACCAAAGACCAAGGGCAAGTAGACCTGCCCAAGAACAGCTTCAGGCTCTGGCCAGGGACTTGGGACCTGGGCCAGTTACGAGCGGATTCTGTGCCCTGCAGCGCCCCCTTGAGGGCAGGCCTTGAGCCCAGAAAAAACGGCATCGGAGGCGGACCAGGCCTCCAGCCCCACCCTTCCCAGGTAAGCCCCCCACCCCCACCGACCGGCGCCTACCTTCTTCTTGGCCTGCAGGTAATGCCTGTTGGCGCCGTGCGCATGGTACCCGGGGACAGTGTGTCTCCAGAGCGTGAGGCCTATGACGCTGTAGGCGACGAACATCACCATGAGAGGCAGGAAGTAGATGAGGGCTATCACTGCGAGATGGTACCTGGAGGGAGAGCCAAGGGCCTTGGCACCGGCGGTCCGTGGGGCGACTTCCTCAGTCCCCTGGACCTCGCGGGTGCCTCCGAGCTGCCCTGGAGTTGTCCCCAGAGAGCCACCCCGGGCGGCCTCCTGAGACCTTAGTTTGATTTAAAGAAAATAAACAAAGGCAACATTAGCTAGCGCACGTGCCCAAATAGGGCTTTCCCTGCTTCGAAAGGGACACTAGTGTTATCCCTGCGTCCGTCCAAGTGATAGATAAGTGCCGAAAAAAAAAATAAAATAAAATAAATAAATAAAAAGGAACGAAAGTTAACCAAGTAATACATTTGTTTAAAATTTAAAATGCCATGAAGCACAAAGAAGGAAGTAAAATTCCTTATCCACCCCCAGCACTGTTAACAATTCGGAATAGTATTTTCTCTCAGATCGTGTGCGTGTATATGTGTTGCCCACCCACCCCCAGAGAGCTGGTGCTCTGTACCCTAAGTTCTTACTGGTCCGCGTCTCAGGAAGAAGAGCCCTGTATTAGGGTGGAGAAACGCTGCCTCCTAGTGGTCAGTCACGAAACATTCGGCTCTCCATCCCTCCCTGAGCCAGAAACCGGACCGCTTCCCTACACAACAGCGCTCTGGAGCAGGGAGTCCCTCTGAGAAGGTGGGGTACAGGGTAAGGGCGAGACCAGGCAGGGCCTGCCCTGCAAAAGCAACAATTGCCAGGAAGAGGCTTCTCAAAGGAATGGCACCTTCCCCTATACTGAAGGCACAGAGCAGCTCCTCGCCCGGTGCTCAGGACAGATGGAGACCAGGCAGGGGTGGAGTTGGGGGAGGGTGTTAATGGAGGTGGAAGCGGGGGACTGTGTTGCTATGGTGACCTGGCAGCCCCCCCCATCTCAGAGCATGCACATCTTCATGCTTGGGCAGCTGGGTCCTTGTTGGACTAAATCTGCCTCCTTCAAGTTTGTTTTCATGTCCCATATTTAAACTGCCACACACTGGCTCGCCGGGTCTGTGATGGGCATGGTGCTAAGGGCTTTCGGTACATTTTTCATGTGTGCTCACAACCACCCTTGAGCAAGGTTCTTGTATAATTAATAAGCCCCATTTGAGAGAGAAGGAGCTGAAGGGTCAGAGAGGCTAAGTGACTATGAAGGGCCTTCTAGCCAGCAGGAACTGAGCAGGGCTGTCTTCCCCGGCTGTGACTACAACACCTCAACCCGTCCTTTGTCCTCTACTAACCAACCATGCTGTGCTTGGGGATCAGGAAGCCATGCCATGAGAGCTAGGCAAATGGAACCCAGAAAGGGAAAGGCCTTACCCAGGGTCACACAGTGGCTGGGCCATGCTGAGTTCTTTTACCCCATGCCCACCCCAGATCCCTTGGTGCCCACCTCAGCACAAGGCAGGCACCAGGCATCCTCCCAAAAACATCCCAGGCTCTGCCATCTGCCTGTCTTTCTGCCTGAATACCCTGACCTTGTGGCCCGAGCTTTCACAGTGCAAAACACACACCTACACACATTTCTAAACACGAACCTATGGGCACACACATCCATAAGCATACCTGTATACTTATACACACACGCACAGACATGAGTGGGTGCAGTGTGCCTATACAGGTGGCATCATGTGCAAGCATCCGAGTCCTCATTTAAGAACGCACACATCCTGATTTCAGTGGCAGAGTGGGGAGCAGATTGGGCTGTGAAGCAGCACTGCCTATATTTAACTCCTTGTCTCAGCCCTTACTATATGTGTGTGGTCTTGGGCACATTACTTAGTTTTTCAGTTCCTCAGTTTTCTCATCTGAAAAATGGGAATAATAATAATACATACCTCTTAATGTTAGGGGAATTAAATGAGTTCATACATGTAATGTGCTTAGAGCAAGCCTGATACTTAGTAAATGATGTCACTTTTAGCATGTATGTGTACTTACATAATCCCAAGTACACTCACAGACACATGTGTGTGCCCTGTACACACACACACACATGCATTGTTGGGTGTATGCACATGCACACACACACACACACACACACACACCATGCTTCCCCCACCTCCTTCCCAGCCTTACAGAAGGAGTATCTTGCCACCGTTGTCTTCGGGCCAGGCCACTACACACTTAGTGGCTCCCTGGTCCATGATGATGGTAGAGTAGAAGCACTGTGGAAAGGCAAGGGTCAGGGCCACCAGCCAGATGCCAGCAATGACTGCTCTGGTGCCAGGGGCTGATAGCCGTGGCTGGAAGGGGTGGACGATGGCCATGTACCTGTGAGCAAAGGGCGGTATGAGCAGTGGGCACCTTCCTGTCTGACCTCCCTCTCCCCCACACTCTCCCCCACTATAGGCCCACACCCTCTAGCCCCATGCCCCACACTGCTGCTGGTGACCTGCAGAGAGCCAGCTGGGCCAGTGACATCCCACAGCCACATGGCACCCTAGTGAAGTGGCCTGAACCCCACGGGGCCCCCACTACAGCACCGTCCTCTGAGTATGGGCTTGCTTTCAGATGGCCACAGGAGAGCACTATGGCCACACTGGAAGTCCACCTCTGGACATCTGTCTGAAGCTCAGCCCTGACAAGCCCTTCAGCCCTAGGCCAGTCCCTCTTCTGTTCAGAAACTTCAGCAGAGCCCAGCAGTCTCCTGGACAAAGACCAAAGCAGTGCTGCTCACCAGCTTTCTGCAGTGGTCAGAATACTCTGTATATGCACTGTCTTGTTCAACAGCCACTAACCACACATGACCAATATGACTGAGGAACTGAAATTTTAATTTTAATTAATTAGAACTTAGGCATATATGAGGTCTGTTCAGAAAATACCCAGCCATGCACTATGAAAAATTGGGACATTTATTGATGAAGATACAAGATACAAGAAACATTATATTTAAAACGATGATATCTCAGTCCCCTTCAAATAGGCACCTTGGGACCTCACACAGTTCTCTCAGTCTCTATCAGCTGCCACATTGTATTGTCCTGAATCTCATCGACGATCTGAAATCTCTTCCCTTTCAAAGGTAATTTTAGTCTTGGGAAAAGCCAGAAGTCACAGGGCACCAAATCTGGGCTGTAGGGGGGCTGAGTTATCTGGGTGATTTGATGTTTCGCAAAAAAACTGCATCAGATGTGATGCATGAGCAGGCACATTGTTGTGATGAAGCTGCTAATCCCCAGTTGCCCATGGCTGCAGCCTTCTGAATCATCTGAATAGTTTCCACAGAGGAATGTTCAAGCTTAATACAACATTTGATGCAGATTTATTGCTCTAGTTGCTCAGTCATTTTGAATGCGATGGCCACACAGTACACATAGGCTCACTCAGTGGCGTCTACCACCCCCACTGACTAGTACAGTGAAGTTGTCATTGTTCACACACGTGCATTCCAGTCCACCCTCCTTGGCTGGCAGGCTACACTGATGTCACACAAATCATTCTACATATATTAAGAATGGCTGGACTTGCCCTGGCTGGTGTGCTTCAGTGGACTGAGTGCTAGTGCTGGGAACCACCCTGCCTGGTTTCAGAATTTGTAACCCCCCATGGCTAAGGCTGAGGGAGTGACCTTTGAACCATAAGCCACTAAGGAGACAAAGCTTATCTCCCTGGCAGGAGTGCAGCTTCTGCTCCTTTTACTTCACCCTGCCTGGCCCCCAGTGCTTGGTCAGTTAGCCAATGAGGGGTAAGATTCCCCAAGGGGGGATTGACCTAAGACAGGCACAATCACGGGGAGCCCCCAGAGAAGGACTTGGGGGGCTATAGCAAAAGGGGGTGATGGACCCTCTCCCCTCGGCTTTGACATAGCCCGGGTCCACATTCTGTTTCAAGAAGTGTCCTAATCTCTTGGCTGCCTTACTTTCCCTGCCCTACTTAAGCCTGAAACAATGCTGGTGGTGGGTGTCACCCTGTGCTGGAAGGGGCGGGTTCCCCAGGTGATCAGGCCTAAGAAAGAATATGTAAAATCCTGTGAAACCTGCTTTGTTTAGAATGCTCTCAATTAAATGATAGGGGTCCAAGCAAGAAGTTTGTTCCTCAAAGTTTTATGCTCTTTAGCTTACTGGCCCTGACTCAAAATAGGCCCTCAGAGTTCTTTGTATGTTATCTATTATTTGATCCTTACTGCCTAACAATAATTAATGAGCTTTACCTGTATTCCTGTGCAAAATGAACCTAATAAAAGCCCATCGAGGAAAAGGCTCTTGGCCCTTGTCCTTTGAGAGATTGGCCACCTTTCCTCCCCAAGCAGATCATGTCTTGATAGACTTATTCTCATCCATGGTGGCTGGGGGTGCCCTGACGGCAGAGCCCCCCCACATGCCGGCCTGCAAAGCAAGGTATCACTGGTTTGATTCTCAGTCAGAGCACATACCTGGGTTGTAGGCCAGGTCCCCAGTAGCAGGTGTGCAAGAAGCAACCACACATTAGTGTTTCTCTCCCTCTCTTTCTCCCTCCCTTCCCCTCTAAAAAAATAAAATGAAATCTTAAAAAAAAAAAAATGGCCGAACTTTTCCCAGATGGACCTCATGTGGCTATGGCTACATTAGCAGACAGCGCAGGGCCCAATCTTTAAACGCGGGATTCAATGACCTCTGCACATGACCAGTGCACTGGCCAGCCTTCATGTGTCACTGCTTCCCACACCAGGCTCACTCTGGCCATGGGACAGCTCTGCTGTTCCCTGGCTGCGGGTATAGTACACAGGATTACAAAGACAACCAATTATACTGAAATACCATCATGAAAATATATAACAAATTTGGAACACAGAAATATATCGGCTTTTTTATCAACCCACTGAACAACAAGATTTAGCAGCAGGTCTGGACACTGTGGAAATTTTGAAGTGGCAGGGAATGGAGGTGATACTTTGCAATTTCTGCACAACAGAAGTTTCTGCGATATCTGTTGGTGACAGTGCCAGGCACGGCTGGAGTCCCTGCACACCGTGCTGTGCTGCCTACATTTGTGACTGTGGCCCCCCTCCAAGTTCATGACCCCTCACATTTCTGCCCACAGCTCGTGGTTGCAGGTGGTGCATGTCGGGACTGCATGATTGTTGACCCCTCCACCCGCACACTGGGCACTGACCATCTCCCTTGACTGCGGCCTGGCCCTGGGCCAACTCTGCCCCTCGACAGCCTGGACCCAGGCCGAGCACCCTAGCAGGACAGGATAAGTAGGCCCTGTCCCTCGGGGTCCTTCAGCACCCCTAGACGATGCAGGAGACCAGAGTGACAACCTGTGGGCTCAGGAGTCCTTCCTGTTCTGGGAGGCGGGATGGGAAAGGAGAGCTTTCTTGTTCTATTGGCAGGGGAGCAGGCCTGAGACTTTGGATTCGGGCTGGTCTGGATTTGCATCCTGACTCTGCTGCTTCCCAGAAATAGGCTCTTAAGCAAATGACCTAAGCTCTTTGGGTTCTGTTTTTGTTTCCTCCTCTGAAGTGGGACGATAGTAATTTGTGCCATTAGGGTTACTGTGCAGAGCAAATAAGAAAGATGCTTGAGAAGTGTCTGCAGGCAGCTGGGGCTCAGGACTTGAGAGTGTGATTATTCCTATGTATTTATTTCCTTTAAATTTACCGGAAATAGCTTTGGTCCAGGATGACTCCTGCGTCTTCCTCCCCAGGATTAATCTGAACCTTGGGACAAGGCCAGGACAAGAAGACCTCACATTTTATTCAGCCCTTGCCCTGAGCAGGGAAGCTCATGTCTTGAGGTCTGGGGCATGCAGTGGGCAGCCGAGTCTGTGCTCTGCGCCGGGAGCATGTGCACCCTGCCCGGGTGAGGACTCCCTCCTGCGCTCCCCACACACCCCAGGCATGCGCCTGCCATAGGCCTTTGCTGCTGCTGCGCCTTCTGCCTGGAATATTCCTTCCCCGGAGCCCTGGGGAAGGCTCTCTCGCCTCCTTCCTGTCTGCTCAAATCCCACGCTCAAAATAAGGCCAATTCAGACACCTCATCTAACATTACAACCTGCTCCCCCACCCCCAACACACACACCCAAGCACCTCAGATCCCTTTTCCCCTTCCTAGTACTTTCCCATAGCTCTTGTGATCTCAAAATACAATATATGTTTATTCACGTGTTTATTATTTAAATTCTCACCAGGGCAGGCATCTTCAACTGTTTTTCCCACTCAGTTCCCAGAACAGTATCTGTACATAGTATGCAGTGAACATACGAATGAATGCAGAAATCAATGGACAGGTCTGCACTGTTACCACCTGACCTGAGCCACCGTCCTCTCTCACCTGTTCAGGAGCCTCCCGCCTGGTCCCCTGGCTCCCTCTGTGCCCTCCACAGTCTGTTCCCAACCCCACCCCCTTTAAAAAGGAAGTGTTCATGAGGTTATGATTCTGGGACAATTTTTCCACTGGTGTGCATTCTGCAGTGCTTGAAACAGAGGACACACTCAAGTACTTGTTAAGTAAAGGAAAAAATCTTAGAGGGACTTTCAGATTATCCAGGGGGTGTTATTGTGTTCTTCGTGGTGATGGAGGGGGTGGAGTGTCTGGGTTCTGGGCACCTGGCCCCACCCTTGTCTCGTGCTGGCTGACTTCAGGGGATCCTGACCATCTGTCTAGCCTCAGTTTCCCTGGGTGCAGAATTAGAAGGTTGGCCCAGATGAATGGCTTTTAAACTTTCTTTTTGTTATTATGTTTTTATTATTATTATTTTTAAAGATTTTATTTATTTATTTTTAGGGAGGGAAGGGAGGGGGAGAGAGAGACAGAGAGAGAGAGAGACAGACAGAGAGAGAGAGAGAGACATCAATGTGCGGTTGCTGGGGGTTATGGCCTGCAACCCAGGAATGTACCCTGGCTGGGAATCGAACCTGGGACACTTTGGTTCCCAGCCCGCGCTCAATCCACTGAGCTATGCCAGCCAGGCCTTATTATTTTTAAATTATTATTTTTTTAATCCTCACCTGTGGATATGTTTATTCATTTGTGAGAGGGTAAGGGGGAGAGAGAGAAAAACATCAAGAAGAGAGAGAGGCATCAGTCTGTTGCCCCTTGCACACGCCCCAACTGGGGACCAAGTCTGCAGCCAGGTACATGCCCTGAGTGGGGTCAAGCTCACAACCTTTTGGTGTACGGGACAATGCTCAACCAACGGAGTCACCCGGCATAGCTTTTTTTAGTTTTTAATTAGTAGAAATAAATTTCTTGAGTGAAATCTTCAGAGAAACTCTATTAATAAAACAACCAAGAGCAGAGAAGTGAGCCGCTATAGGTGAGGGGTTGCTGGGTAGCTGGGTTGGGATGGGGGACTATGAGCCTCATCAAACCATCCTGACGAGGAGTCTGTGTCTCTCAGGGCCCTGAGCTCCCACCCTGCCTCTCACACCTGCCTGGTGTCTTCCCTCTGTTTCTTTTTGTTTGCTGTCTGTCTCAACCACACTCCCTCAGGGACACACAGTCCCTTTCTACATTCACACTGGGACCTGCCTGCCCCAACCAGCTTTTAAAAGATCCAAGCCCTGGCCATTGTGGCTCAGCTGGTCGGAGCGTTGTCCTGTCCCATAGAGCGAGAGGTCTCCGGTTTGATCCCCGGCCGGGGCGCAAACCCTGGTTGGGGTGTGTGTGAGGGGGCAACCATCTCTGTCATTTCAAGATTTCCCTTCTCTCCCCTCTCCCTTCCCCTCTCCCTAAAAGCAATGGAAAAATGTCCTCATGTGAGGTTAAAAAATACTTTTAAAAAAGGATTCCCTATTTGCTTACCAGTCACTCCTCTACCCCTCCCTGACCAACTCTCTGAAGTCACGTCTGCAGCCCTGAGAACAGCCTCAGGAAAATGACTGGCCCATGTAGTTACATGGCAGCTGCATGCAAGATTAAATTTTCCCCTCATGTAATTTGTCTAGGAATAGAAAGACCATGTAAGCAATTTCTTTGTGTAAAACGACGGACCTCCTAGTAAAGACCAACCACAGGAAAGAACACTCCAAAAAGTTCCTAAAATACTGCCACTCTTGCCCCACTGCCTTGAACAGCTATCTGGTGTAAAGTTCTTTCTGTGTCTAACCTTAAACTCACCTGCTTCAGTCCCATCATCCTCTGCCTTCCAGATGCATACTTTGTATCATGATCGGGCTGGGAGGCAATTTCCTGGGTCCCACACTTAACTTGCAGTGAAACTTTGGGCAAGTCACCAGCTTTGTCTGAGCTCCAGCAAAGTGAGCTGGCTCCCACCAGCTTCTCCCAACCCCCACTGCCTCCTACCTGTCTGCAGCAATGGCGGTCATGGAGTAGATGCTGACGAACATGGCCGTGACAGGGAAGAGGTTCTGGAAATAGCAGAAGGCACGGCCGAAGTACCAGATGTTGTGGCTGGCATAGACGAAGTTGAAGACGGCATTGAAGGCGGCCATGCAGAGGTCGGCCACGGCCAGGTTGACAATGAAGTAGTTGGTGACGGTGCGCATCCTCTGATGGGCCAGGATGATCCAGATGACTGTTGCGTTGCCCATCACGGCCACCAGCACGAGGATCAGGTAGGCTGTGGCCCACAGTGCCAGCTGCCAGCCGGGCATGGAGAAGGTCGTGACGCCTGTGGTGTTGTTCTCAAGGTCAGATGAGATGTTGGTATCTGCACAGGTTCCCATGGCTGCCTCTGGGTCTGGGACAAGGGTCTGGCTCCTCAGCTCCTTCTGGCTCCCGGTGCTCTGCCTGGATATGCTACAGGAGAGAACTCCTCCTCGGCGGGAGTGTACAGGGGAGAGAGGAGTAGGTGCAAAGCCAGGCACGTCAGGGAAACCAGCAGGCACTCCCAAGTCTCAAACAGACATGAGTCAGGCTGAGCAGAGAGTGGGTTCCAGAGCCATTGGCATTTCAGAGTCCCATGTCCCGGCCAGACTTCTCCAGTGTCACATGGAAATCTAAAATCCAAGACCCGGTTTCAAAGCAGGAGTTATCCTTGTTAATTATGGGTTAACCCCTTTACTGCAGAAATGAAAAAACAGATTCTAAGGAGAGATATGACCAGTCCAGGTCACTCAGCAAGTTGGTGACAAGTAAGGACTCAAACCCAGGTCCCTCCTAGTACTACTCAGGAACCGCTTGGGACCAGACGAGCACACGGCAGCAGCCTTCGGATCCCACCGCGCAGCCGGCTTTCTCTCCGGGCTTTGGGGTGCGGGCAGGGCCGCCAGCTCTCAGAGCGCTGCCTTTCCCGCTGCTCTCCTGTGCCGGCCAGTGAGGGCCTTGGCAGAGGTGGTGCCTGCTCTTGAGTTGGGGCTTTGGCTCCCGCCCCTGGTCCCACCCCTGCTTGGATGGCCCAGCTTGTTTCTTGAGGAAAGATTTAGGACCAGCTGCCAGGCAGGGGGAGACCTGGGGGAAATAAGGGCGGCAGGGGTGGCGGCTGGCATGGAGGGCACAGTCCTTGGTGGGGTGTTTATATTCATCCTGGGCCAGGAGTTACGTCTAGAAAGTGATTAGGAGCATGCACTTGGGAGCCAGACTGGGTGTGAGTCAGTTTCACTGACACCAGACTTTGAACTTCGGCTTTTCTAGCTGAAAAAAAAGGAAAAAAAAAGGAAAAAAATGTGTACATCCGTTGGTATATAGCAAGTCCTTGAATAATGTTTCATTCAATGTTGTTTTATTATAACGTTGATGAGATGTTGTAGGAGCTTAACTTTTGTTTATATCAATTAGCTTAGGGTAAAGTAGGTTTTATTATGCGTTGTTCTGCTTGAAGTTGCAGAAATTATCAACAATGATAAATGAAGGCTTACTATATTTGTGAGTTTTAAATGAGATGATATGTGTAAAGTTCATTCAGCCCAGGGGCTGGCCCACAGGAGGCCCCCAGAGAGCTGGGGGCTCTGCAGGGAAGACGGAACTCCAAGCACTTTTAACGAGTGCTTAAATGATGCTGATGGTGCTGGTTTGGGGACCTCACTTTGAGAACCACTCTCACCGGACAAGGACTGGGCTCACTGTGAGCCCCGGGGAGGCTGGATGGAGCTGCTGCTCCCAGGGTGGAGCTGCTTCCCAGGGGCAAACCCACAGGAATCTGCTCTTGGTCTCCGACTGTGCATGTGTCAGCCACTGGGTGAAGCTGCAGTACTGTTCCTGGGTGACTGTATGTGTGTGGCTGAGCACACCTGTGTGTGTGTGGAACCTGAAGGCGGACAGGGTGTGTCCCTCATTAAGGCAGAGGAGGGCTCTCATTCACCAGCACTGGTGTCCTTGCTGTACTAAGCTTGTGGTCGGCCTCCTGGGAATCCAGTCCTGCACCTTGGGGAGGGTCTGCTTCCTGGGCTGTTACTCCTCCTGTGGGTGTGTGTACTGTGAGGCCCTTGGGACTCCTGCCTGCCCAGAGCCTGCTCCAGACACGGCTGGCTCTGGGCCTGGCCAGGCCACAGGGTAGGGGCTTGCTGCCTCCATGGAGTGAGCCACCAGCCTGTGTTTGGATGTCTGCACTTCGCTGAAGGGCCTCTGCCTTTGATCTCTTTTGGTGGCGGCAGCAGCATCCACTCAACTTTGGGGCTTGTTTCAGTCTCCTGCTCTGCTGGCCGCGGTTCAGAAGCAGAATGTGTAGAATAGGATGTAAGCACAAGACAACTCTCCCTCTTTGCTGTTCTGCTTCCTGCTCCCAGGCAGCTGGAGTTTGCTGAACTTCAGGTGCAAGCACAGCACAGGTCCGGGACCGTAGAGAGAGTATCACCAGTCATAGAAATCCACAGCAGGGCAAATTCCCCAGCCCCCCATCATCCTGCCACTGCCATTGCCTATGTAATGGGGACTCTATTTTGGAGGTATTAAACCTGAGTTTTGATTCCCTCCTTAAGCCATGTGCTCTTGCAGCTTTTCAAATATGTGCTTGTAGCTTCATGGAAGGAGAGGGTGGGGGTCACCCCGGACTAAGGGGTTACTGATCAGCCTCGCTGCTCAGGGTTGACCTGCTGAGTCTGTCTCTTTACAATGGCCTTGAAGGCTAGTCTTTGGGAAAGGAGAAAAAACATATTTGAATTCCTTTAGCTCCTACGGGCACATGAAGACTCTGGTTCGCACATTGAGGTTTGTGTATGGGACGTCCCCTCCACCAGGAGGTGGAGAGGGAAAGGCTGGCCACTGGTTCTCTCTGGGATGGGCTGAGCTGATGACACACAGGTTGGGAAACTCTAGGAAGTGACTTTGATTCAGAGCATAGAGTGCAGGGTGGTTATTAGGGGTCCACAGCTGGGAAAGGAAGGAGGAAGCAGCAGTGGGTGGAGGAGGAAGTTGAGCTGCCCTGTGGGAGGCAGCAGCCTTGGACAGCCCCATGGGTCGCTTGGACTAGAATGGCCCTTTAGAGTTGCCCTGTGTCAGGCAAAGGTGGCCAGTCCTTACACTTCCACAATGATCACTGGGTGTAAGTGGCCCCAAGAAGGTGTGTGGTCTTGTACAAGGCAGCTCTTTGCAGCCGAGACAGTGGCTGAAGGAGGCAAGAGCTGAACACAGTGTGCTTAGAGCACTCCCAGCATGCTGTAGAGTCTGGGGAGCCCAGGTCCGTGTCGGCCACGGCTGAACAGCAGCCGGTGGGCACGGGGTGTGAGCTCACCAGTGCTCCTCATTGGTTTGTGCTTTCCTGGCTCCCAGGCTGGAGGCCTGAAGACTGGAGTGGAGAGAGGAACTGTTTTTTCAGGGAGTAGAAGGTGCAGGTAGCTGCAGGGATGAGGGAGGTAAATGGAGAGAACAGAGGACTCCAGGAAGCGTTGAGAACTGGGTGCTTCTTCAACAGTGTCTGACAGTGGACGCTGCTGGGCTTGGGCCACTTGGTCGTGGCCTCAGTGAGTCCCACACAGCATCACGAGCCTTAGTGCTGGAAAGTTCTGTGGGTCGACATAGTTCACTTGGACTGGGCAAAGTGAGGACAAGGACAGCGCAGTGAGCTTTTTATTCAGCTAAATGAATCCATTTGGAAGGATCAGTCTCCATTCTGAGACTATGCCCTTTCTGCCTTTTGGATTAAAATGCCCTTTCTTTCATGAAATAATGGTGATGTCAGAAGGTAGTTAGATTGGTTTTCTTTTCTCTAAATTTGCTAACTCAATGGAATAAAAAGTTGGTGATCTATATGGGTCCCTCTGTTAGGTTTTTGGTATTTTATTGGTCCATGAAATTCAAGGATCCAGGAGCCCCAGTTTAGTTCCTCATTTGGAGAAGAGCAGAGGGAGCCCCCGAGAGCAGAGGGCTTGCCCAGGTCCCATCGTCAGTGAGGTGGGGCGGCATTTCTGATCGCTCCCCTCTGTCCTCCACAGCCTTTACTGGTCTGTTCGCCTCCTCTCTCCGGAGATGCATCGAAGCCACCTCCCTGCAGCACGGCTGGGGGCTGCTCCCCAGGGCCTGGACTGTGTCCTGTTTATGTCCTGTGTCTAGGAGAGTTGCCAGTGCATCACAAGTGCCCTATAAACGTTGGTTGATTGACAATGAATAAAATTTAAATGATGACTCAGAGATGAGGCATAAGAAATCTTATAAATGTATCATATATCTATGTATCTACTTACATCTAACACATATAGATATGAAAGCCTTAAACTAATGGGACTAGCCCTAATGATGGGATTTCATGCAACTCTGAGTGGGCAGAGCAGTATAACGCTGGGCATATTGACACATAGTAGATACTCAATAAATATCAGGTGTATAAATGAATAACAAATGGTGAGTCAAGTTTAAAATATCATCCTGCCAGGGGTGAAGGGAGTAGCATTCTTATTTTCACAGGACCTAAAGCTTAAACTGAAGGCCCATGTCTGCATAGGATGGGTAGGGAAGACATTGGGGTCTCCGTAGCATTCCAGGATTTATTTCTCATGGATAGACCCCCTTTGTCCATAAGCTAGAGGATTGATTCCCCCTGGTCCTGAGCATCTGTGGCCCAGAATCTGGGGCTTCAGCGGAGAGGGAGCACTGGCCCCCACCCAGAGCAGGGGCTGCAGCTGACACATTTTTTAGACACTGAGTGCTCTGGGGCAGTGTCCCGCCCTGAAAGCCTGAAGTTCATCTAGCTAGAAAGGAGAGGCTGCCAGTGTTTACATCTGCTGCGGTCCTGGTGTACACAGAGCTTAGGAGCTCTCAACACAAAATGAGCTCATTTCTCAACATCAGGCTCCAGCAAAATCTGCCCATTTATGGCAGGCAGAGGAGGAAGTAGGTGAGGCTTGTCCTAGGAGGAGGCACCCCCACACCTCCTTGCTGATTGGATAACTGGGGGTCATCCCAGAGGTGGCCTGGGTGCAGACAGAGGGAACTTGGTGTCTGCCCAGGGCGTTGGCAGATGTGGCAACAAGCTCTGTGGTGTGGATGAGGGAGAAGGGGAGGTTGACAAAGGGTCAGTCAAGCTCTGCGCCCTGTGGCAGGTCTGCTGACTGGGCAGGTGCTCCAATGATCAGTGCAGAGTTAGGAGTAAGGGTCGCATCTCTACCTTCCTGGAGCTCCTGCCCAAGTTGGGGGCCCAGTCCCAGCATAGCAGAGAGAATTCACCGGAATTCACCAGGAGCTTCAGGTTTCAGAGGAGGGAGGGAGAGACCTTTGGGGTTTTGAGGAGTGAGGGGCACTGCCCCTTGAATGACTCCTGGAAGTAATAGAGACGGGGACATGGGAATGATCCCAACATAAGGGTTGGACTAGGCTGGCGGGCGCCCAGGGTCCCTGCAGGAACAGGACAGGAGGGGTAGCAAGTATAAATCTCAGTTCACAAACCCAGGGTTGCATGAAAGTTCTCATTTCCTCATTCTCCAAAACTCGACTTAGTCTCGACTTCTGGTCTCCAGCTTGTTGAGCGCGGGGAAACCCAACCAGGGCTGTCCAGCGGCAAGGTGTCTGGGGCGGGGCCTGTACTGGTCGTTAATCCACGCAGGCCACTGTGCTGGTGCCTCTCCTTCCTGCTTTTGCAGGGTCTTTGAGGTCTGGCGACTGTTGTTTCTGAGACATGTGTGGGACCTGAGAACTGGGGGCTTAGCTGGGGACTGGGTCCCAGAGGCCCATCTTTATTGGGTGCCCCTCCCCATCATGGTCATTCCTCCCAGACCCTGCCAGGGAGAGGGGCTGAATGCTCACTTCTCCACTGCAGTCAGTCCCCCCGCCCCAACTCCTCGAGGAAGTCCTGCTTCTAGAAAAGTGCAGCCCGTTCCTCCAAACCCCACCGTCCTTCATGCTTTTCCACGGTGTCTTTGATAAGGCCAGAACACCAGC